AGACAAATGTAATGTGGTTCTCATTTGCCTAATACAATAACATTTAGCTCGACGCGAATTTTAACTAGTATTATATTTCATAATATAATGAACAATGTAAACTAGCCAATTCTTTTCACCTACAAAATGTCGACAATATACCTTAATACATGTATTAAAATTTGCGCTAGAGTTCGAGCAAGTAGTAAAGATAAAGCTTGGATTCAAAATACCGAGACATTTATTGCATGGTTCTTAATTTAATGAACTCTCCATTGACATGCTGCTTTTAGACAAATGTAATGACTGTTGTTCAAGTATTGTCTGTTGTGTGTGTTTAGTATACCTTGTAAATTGTTTCTGTATAACTATTGGGGCCGCTGTAATTGGCAATAGCTGTTGTGGTTTCCCAGCCAATGAATGTATAAGTATGACGGCAAAGTAAATAAATAAATAAATTTGCCTAATACAATAACATTTAGTTCACAATATAATATAAACAAGGAATAGTCGTTCGATTTGGCTATACTGTTTGCTCGTTTTGAATGTGTATTGATCATTTCAATAATCGATTTACATATCAGTCTGCTCGATTCGAGTAAGGGTTGCCCGATTTGTATCATTGGTGATTTGGTGTTCGACTTATAACTATTGGACCTATTGAATTTTGACAGTAAAAACGCGCCATGTATAATACATGTATTAAAATGCGCGCAGTAGCTACTAGAATTGGAGCAAGTAAAGATAAAGCGGTGCGTTCAGTGAAATACCAACAAGAACTAAGATATTTATTGCATGTAGCTATGGTTCTCATTTTCCTAATACAATAACATTTAGTTCACAATATAATATAAACAAGGAAAAGTTAAAGGTTTGGCGTTTGACTACACAATGTCGGCACTATACCTTAATACATGTATTAAAATTCGCGCAGTACGTATAGCTAGTGGTACTAGCATTCCGGCGGACCTATTGAATTTTGACAGCAAAAACGCGCCATATAATACCTGTATTAAAATTCGCGCAGTAGCTACTAGAATTGGCGCAAGTAAAGATAAAGCGTGCGTTCAGTGAAATACCAACAAGAACTAAGACATTTAATGTATGGTTCTCATTTTCCTAATACAACTCAACTCATAGCTATTATGTGCTCATTTGTTTTCATGTGCTCATTAATTCTTATATCAATATTGGAACATGATCACGAAATACTGCGTAGCGCAAAATCTCCATTCTTCAAAAACGTATCGTTCAAGGCAACTGAAAGGCGAAGAAGACAATGATATATTGTATCTGACTGCTTCACTACTCAGAAATGATCCACGATCATGATTTGATAAAGTTCTATAAATATTATTACTAAGTATCTGACATTAAACTAAATGTGATTAAAGCACAAGAGATGTTACCTATGTTTCATTTTATATTTTTATTTTTTTCCTATGAAGGTTTGTTACTTGTGCAAAAGCGCAACTTTAATTAGGTTTCAAACAGTTTCTGCCTTCTGCTTTTTGTTGTCGAATTATTGATTTTCTTTGGATAAATCTACGGCTGAAACTGTTCTATACGAACTGTCTTGCTTCCCATTCCCTTGTCTATTACACCATAGCCAATCTCGTTCCCCGAGCCTGCGATCCTAGGGAAGGAAACGAAGGCTCTGGGAAAATCCGTTGCCGAAAGCCAGGAATTCTGGCTAAGATTGAACTGCACATTCGATATCAACGGCCAATCAGATTCCTCCCTGAAACGGATTATCCCAGAGCCTTCGTTTCCTTCCCAAGGACCGCAGGCTCAGGGAACGAGATTGCACCATAGCACGCATATCATCATTTTCAGGTCAGTGTGAACGTCTGAGTAGGCGTCTTGTTAAATTATTATTCCGCAAATAAACTAATTAAGGGCCTGTTCGTATGGGCAGAAGTTATCCTGGCCTACGGTGTAGACCCCAGCAGAAACACGTTTCGTGAGGGGTCTACGAATAAACGAAGAAAAGCTTTCCCGGCCCACGTCATATCCGTTTTACGTTTTGGGTAAATTAACTTGAATTTATTCAAATTTCTGAAGCGTGCGCAAATGTAAATTTTCATTTGACGCTTATTAAAATGTTCCATGGCGGTTATTTGCTTCAAAGTCCCGTCGAATAAAAGCGATATTAATTTCTTGGACAGCAAGGAGAACATACGTAAGGAGTTAGACGAGCTTTCCTTCTCCATTTCACCTACAAATAGCATTTGTAAAGCATGCCTGGTGTTGGTAAACAAACGGTGAAACGGAGAAGCTTCAAAGAACGGTTTAATATGTGAGCCAGACAACACGATAACGAACGTGCACGAAACAGCATTAAACGCTATTGGTATACCACTTAAAGTAAAGCGAAATGTGAGGAAACTGGGATTCAAGCCGACTTGCGAGTTGCAATAAAACGTTTATGCCGGCTACATTTAGTGTGAATTCAACTTTGCCTTCGACTTCAGAAATTGGATGTCTTGACAAGCTTCAAGCCTTCAACAGCCTAACAGTTTGTACTTTTTAGTCTGTTTGGACATGTGTTTAATCGTTGGGTATATATAAAGTTAGGGTATATATATAGTTAGGGTATATATATAGTCAGGGTATATTTTATTGCACAAAGTCCGGCCTAGCCATGGAACATTTTAATAAGCGTCAAATGAAAATTTACATTCACGCACGCTTCAGAAATTTGAATAAATTGAAGTTAATTTACCCAAAACGTAAAACGGATATGACGTAGGCCGGGCAAGCTTGCAAAGCCGGATATTGTTGAGGGTAGCATGGCCAATACAGCCAGAATTAATGAATGCTCGAATGCGCACATTTAGCAGTTGGAAATCAATGCTAAGAAAACACAGGATTAAAGAAATCTGACGGAGAGATGAAGAAACGATTGGCTAAACTTCAAGACAAAATTTCACCTTAAACCATGCCATCATTACAAGTCAAGCCGTCAATTTTGTTTATTGCATGGATTAGTTTCGGTTTGTGGCAAACAGTCGATGAGTCAAAACCCGGGTGTCTTCAACAATACTAACAATATCCTAAATTGTCTAAATATAAAGTCTCAGAGTTTATATGCATCGATTTGAAAGAATAAATATGCATTGGGTTTTCCGCAAACCAAGACATGTATTATATTCACTATGAAAGGAACGTATTTGCTTAGTAGGTTTCATATTACACTATCTGGAAGGTATATGTAATGTTATATGTCATCTGACATATTTCGACCACACAACGCCGGGGCGTTTGAAAACGCCGTAGAAAAAATGAAAAGTCGCACTGCGCCAGAGAGAGCTTGTTTAAAAACGTCACTTTTACCGTAATGATTTGAATACGGTTTGTAAGCGAAGCGAGATGAACACGTCGCACTTCGCGGTTTTGTGTGAACAATGGCTCCGTCTTTACTATGCTCCAGTTTGGTACCCCAGCTTATAAGAATAAATGGCGCATTGAGCAATGGCGCTAAAATTTTGACCCTATTGTGACATGACTATTAATTAACATGGCTGTTTTCGTCTATTAGCTATATTAGTCAACCTGTAGCGTTATTTGGAAAACGCGGATATGTGGACACGGACATGCGGACACGGAACATTCAGATATGCGGACATGAAATTTACTAAAGTTCAAAAACGTTTCATCGGCGAATTCGAGATAAACCATCAACAAGAAGGATATTTAACTTTAAGTCATAGGCAGCTCTATCCACAATTCAAAAATTATGTCAATGGATTCACTGTAGACAGGATATAAGCCGAATCATAATGTCGACTGCGCATGCAAATAACGCATTCTGCGCCTGTACTGTAGCTGAGATTAGAAGATTTAAAATATGCATATCAAGTATTCAACTGGAATATTTTGGTATGCATATTTTAATCTCTCAGTTACAGTTATCATTCAACTGACAGTGAACTCGGCGCAATTCTGCTGTGCGATGATATATAAATTATAAACAGATTGAAAGATCTCCTCTCTTTTACATTGTGGCTTTTGTCTACAATTTGTTCCTTTTTCTAATAATTATAGGTACTGCAATCATGGCATCGTCAGTCCTTGAGAGTTCTGTAGAAAAGATCTATGGTTTTAAGTTGATGAGGTTGATTGTTGATGGAGGAACAGAGGTGTTGAGAAACATCTTCTTAAGCATACATCCAGGTAATTTGCATGCAGTTTTGTCCACTCATTGTCCTACACTTTATCCACTGTTTAAGACTAAGAAAATAATCACACAACCACAATGGGATAAACTGTACCCACCTCACCCTAGCTTTCCAAATATTCAAGAATTTGATATAACATTACTTGTTATCCTGTTAAGAAATATTTGTAGTTTATCTCCACCTAGTACAGGGTGGAATGTTATGCCAGGTTCCACTGAGAATTCTCGTGAAGCGAACATTGTTCGTATTAGGCTGTTTCGCAATAATTTCTTTGGTCATGTCCCTGGCACAGATGTTAGTAGGTTAGATTTTGAGGCTCATTGGGTAGATGTTAGTTCGGCTTTACGTGGTTTGGGATTAAAGCAATCCCAAATTGACAGATTGAAGGCTGAGGAATGTGGAGAGGAGGAAGTGAATCGTGTCAGAAAAGAATGGAATGAAAGTGATAAGGAAATAGTGATAAAACTAAACCGAATGGAAAAGAAGATGGAATCAAAATTTGATGCCGGATTTGAAAAAGTATCCAAAAAGATTGATGAATCCTTGATACAAGTTAAGTCTTCCACAAAAGGCATCCTTAGTGAGTGCCTCCATGAACATGATTTTAAAAACGAAATACAATCGTTTTATGAAAACTACACAGAATGCACCCGTGAGTGGGTTTTTAATCAGGTATCAAAATGGCTAAACGACAAATTGTCTAATAATCGTGCCTTCATTATTTCTGGTCAAGCTGGAATGGGTAAGTCTACTATCGCCGCAGTTACATGTAAACGTTTCCCGGAACATTTTGGAGCTTGCCATTTTTTCCAATATAACAATAGTAGGTACAATAATCCAAAGTTTCTCCTCCAGTCGTTGGCAGGGCAGCTATGCCATGTCATTCCCGAATATAAGCAAAACCTTACCAACAACTTATCTGGTAATAAAGCACAGTTGTTGGACGACCTGAACATTGAAGGGTTGTTCTTAATGTTGTTTGAAGAGCCATTTTCAAACATTCCCAATCCAGGTAAGCATTTTCTAATCGTAATAGATGCGCTAGACGAATGCCGACAGGAAGAAAAGCAGAAGCTTGTTGATTTGATAACGAAACATTTTCAAAAATTTCCGAGATTTATTCGATTTCTAATCACAACCCGACAAGAAACAGATATTGCACGCAAAGTCCAGGAATTAAACCCATTGTTTTTAGGGCCAGATGATGAACGAAATTTAAAGGATCTTCAATTTTTTTTTGAGGATAAATTGAGGAAAATATCAAAAGATGTTCCAAGGGAGGAGCTTGTAAAAAAATTTGTTGAAAAATCTGAGGGTCTGATGCTCTATGCATCTTTTCTTTGTAAACTTGCTGAAAACGGCTCCATCATATCTAACACTGAAAACTTACCTGGAGGTATTGAAGAGGTCTACGATATGTATTTCAATCGCCTTGAAAACGAACTTAGAAAGCTAGGCATTGACGAAAGACAATTTTTAAAATTTTTAAGCATAATAGCTGTTTCAAAACGACCACTTCCATTAGCACTTCTTCAGAGATTACTTAGCTCTGGCACAGATTTGTCGATTGCAGCCAGAACGTTGCGGAAATTGATTAATTGTCTCTCTTCACTACTTGTCATCAAGGATGAATGCGTGTCGTTTTTTCACAAATCAGTAAAAGATTGGCTAGTAAAACCAAATCATGATTTTACAATTATTGAGACAGACGGCCATAGAAATCTCGCTGATATTTGCGTTTTTCAAATGCAAACAATGAAGCAAGACGAAGTTAGTTTAACATTTGATCTTGCTATTGTCTATGCATTGCACTACGAAATACAACATATATTGGAGGCGGAAATAAAAGACATGCATTGTTTGACGAAATTGACAAACAACGTTACTGACTTAGAAATCGTTTATGCGAGTGTTTGTAGTGATATTTACACAACATTAAGCAATCTTTCTAGGCTAGAAAGCTACGATATGCACAACAGCTTAATATGCGAGGAAATGCAAACAACTATAAGAAAGCTCATCTCTATAATAAGAAAGTTTACCTACTTTTTAAAAGATCTTCCACAGTCATTTTTGCAGCTTGTTGTCAATGAAAATGATGACGTACTTTCATCCAAAGCATCTGCCTTGTTAATGACCCGCTACAGGGGGCTTGCATATTTCGAATCGGAGGACGAAATGGAAAATACTGAAAAGGCTATGGTAGGTCGTGTTTTAACTGGGCACGAAGTTTTAGAAATTGATATTTCACCGTCAGAAGATTTTCTCGTATGTGGATATGAAAGAGGAGTTGAGCTGTTCTCTCTTCCCGATTTTCAATCTCTTTGGAAAATTGACGATTTTGTTGTAGAAAGAAATGTTGATTTCGTGCTAGAATTTTATTTGGGAAACCTGTCTCGCTGCATTATTTTTCACCCTCTTGAAAACGTCATTTTTCCCGGACAACTTACCCCTGTACTTACTTTCGAAGGAAAATTTAAATCTGGGCAGATTGTGTGCGAAGAAATACCCAATAAGTTTACTAGTTGCTGTTTTTCTCACGATAAAACGAAAATGGTGACAAATTACGGCATTCATTTGACAGTTTGGAATTTACTTGAAAATAAGAAAATAGTGAGTCTTTCGTGTCTGCCACATTTATTTTCCGTTTTGTTTTCGGCTAATGACAGATTTATTGGAACAACAAACTTTAACGTGGTATGTGTTTACGATACTGAGAATAGTTACAGCATGGTGTCAAGATCTCGTGTGACAAGGTTTCAAGTTTTAGGTTCAACGTTTCGCTCAGATTCCTGGATAGTTTATAGTGTAACTTACAGAGAAGGCGAAGTAGTAACCGAAATTGTTCATTATGATCTAACAATTAAACATATTTCGCCACCTGTTCATGCAACATGGCCACGTAACGCGAGGGCTGCCGCTGAATTCCAAGCGGTAATCGTAAGTGATGACTCCGCGTGGTTTGAAAAACTAATAGGCAGCTATTGCAACTTTTTTATCCTCAGTAATGAAAGCGTTTTGCGTAATGGAACAATCTCATCGCTACCGGGAATATAATTGTTTAGGCTAACTAGGTTGATCCAGAATTCAAACAAGAAAAAACAAGCAAATAAATGTATTTTCCCTTTAAGGCTTGAGCGATGTTTTTCTGTCTCAGTGGACGGAAGATATATTTACGAATGTGACCAAACAAGAGGTTTTTCCATAGTAAACCTTAGTTGGCCTCGGTCAGTAAAAACCATTGATATAGTACGTACATCTTTTGTTTCGGTAACAAATGGCGTGTTCGTTAACGGAGAGATACGGAAACTATCTACAAGTAAAGATATGTTGTGTCCAGGCATCCCTGAGCTGTGGAATTTTGGAGTGACGCAACGTCTCGCCAGTTTTCCTGAACTGACTGGTACTTGTTATTGTCGTTCAGTCGCACAAGATTTAGTAGCTTGTATTATGGAGTCGCAGGTTTGCTTTTTTAATGTTGTGAAAAAAGCAATAGTTGCACGTACATCATTTCCTGAACACATTTTAATCTTTGAGGAAACGAAGGTGATTGCATGCAGCAGTCTATATCATGTGCTGATGCAAAATAGAGAATCTACATATTTATTACAATATGCGAACAGTGTAGATTTAAATTCATGTGTATTTAACAATATCCCGCAGAAATTGGGAAAGTACATATATGCTGCTTTCTCTCCTAATGGACAGTCGCTGGCAATTCGCAACGACCAAATATTCTATATCTTAGACATTGCTACACTAAACATTCGTGGCAAAGTTTCTCCCTCTTACGTACCACAATCCAAACTTGCATTTGTTGACGAGGAACACATTCTTTGTGCAGGATATGAAGATTGCTTGTATTTAATGAATGTCAAAACTTGTGACATATTAACTTGCATCAGTTTGGGCATGCATCCGTTTGGGTTTGCATCAGTTTGGCCATGGGGTGTTTTTGCATGCCGCAATACAGTTGGTATTATTGTTTACAGCCCCAGGTACAATAAATTAAAACTAATTAAACTTTGGTTGCCACAGGAACGTAAAGATGGGAATGAATTAGTGGAATGTTCTTGCTGGATACACGGTGGGAATATAAATGACCCGCTCACCCCGACTGAAATTCCCACAACGTGTTGCAAGTGTTCTATCATATAATTCCACATACGGAAAATGAAAATAATTGACAGGAACTACAAATAATACAAAGATGGTAAATGTTTTAACTTTGCTTTGTTGTTCTTTTTAGTTTTACTATAGTCATTTTGAAACCAATGGCAGTTCCAGCAATCTGATTGGTCAGACCAAATGTCACTCCACTCCGTTCTATTACCATTACAGGCATTACTAATAACCTTGAAAACGCTTGTTAAGTTTTCATTCAGCTAGGGGGCCGAAGTGATGGGTACTTTATGGAAATAACTTCTCTTTGTTGTTTTACTTGCAATGGTATGTAAGTTCTAGCATAATTTGAATAATGTTATGATAAAGTTTTAAATCCGAGAAACAACCCAAAATCAATTCGGAAAATAAAATTTTGAAGCGAGCAAATTTCGAATCTGGGTTTGGAAACAATTTTATATGTCGCATATTTTTTTCTCAGAACGACACATTGAATATAAAATTATATTAATTAAAATTCCCCAATGTTTCCTATACGTTGATACTTCCTTGGTTTAACGATCGTTTTAAACCGTTTTAAAATATGAATTGTTTTTCATGCGTAAATTGCAGAATGTAGACTGTTGCACGTATTTTCCCTTCAAAACATTTAAGAACAAAATAAATATTTGATGAGTGTTCAAAGTAAAATAGAATACATAATAGTGTTGGGAAAACATAAAAAACAGATAACGTTGGTTGCGTGACTGACAGATCTGATGCACCGGCACTGATCCTCTTTTGATTTGGGTTTTAACAATTCCATTTTCACATAACGCAATTTTTTTTAAAATTTTTTTCTCAGCTGGACTACAATGCACCATCATCTGAGAGGACAGTGCTACATTAATGCTGGCCATTAATGCAATTATTATAGCGTTATGTTTTCTATGCCAAGGACGAGAATTATATCTGTAACTGCTTTGAGTCATTGCCAGCATACATTATTAATAATAGCAGCAGTGCGGAATGATTCTAATATAACTATTTTAACCCTGCATGCATGGGGACCAAACAAAATCTCTAGTGGACATTGCCCACGGAATTATATTGGCGAAACAGGGAGATCATTTGAAACTGACAAGAAAGAAAAACGCATCCGAATGTCATTCGACCGAACGTAGGCAAACATGCATGCTTGGACATGCTCATGTAGAATGAAAGGATCAAATTTGACGACGGGCAAATAATTGACAAAGGAAAGAAGAGAATTAAAAACTTCGGAATCATTGCAAACTGCTATTGTTAATAATGCAGACAATATTTCAATGCCGTTCCATACTCTGTTATCCTTAGAAAATATTAACGCTAACAACTGCATGCTTGCATTAATTAATCGCCTACACTGTCTCTATTGCAAGATTGTTTGGTTTCAACTGTATTCCTTCCCTTGTTGAAGGATTTGAATATCAACTAACCGAAAACCCGTAATGAAAGTCTCTGATTAGAGAAAATTGTGAACAACTTTTATAAATTATCCAACAGAAAATGTCTGTGGTGTCACGCCAATGTCTCAACCGAGTTTTGGTCCAAGGTACCAGCTATCTGAATATCTGATTGATCGAGTGAGACATGCGTAAATTCTTAAATTTACATTCAATGCGGCATATGGTATCGATATAAACGACGGGATTTCAGATATTTTAGCACGACTTTGTGAAATGCCTTTGGCGGTGGATAAAAATCTTGTTTAAATTTGTTGTCTTCAGCACCTTGAAAAATTGTTATCATTGCTACTTGGTGCTACTGTAATTGAATTGGGGCTCTTACTTCATATATTGTACAGGACAGCTTCGTTCTTCTATGAATTACCAAAGTTTGATCAAGATTAAAATGTGTGGGTTTTTAGGAGGACGAAACAACCTATACAGTTATAATCAACATTATCGATTCCTTACCTTGTTTACATTACTGTCCTCGCGGACAGGTTCCAGTTGTATAAATGTTTTTCATCAAGAAACGAATGGGTCGAGCTTAGATCTAAAATATCAAAGAAAATGTGCTACCACGAGATTTCCACTCAAAATAACGAAAATAAAAACGTTTTTGTACCCAGAAAACAAGATTCATGCAACTAATTCATCATGAAGTATCACGTGCGGTTTTGAAGTGTTAAAGTTTATTTCTTTTCTGATGAATGTTTTTTGCGCTTTCAAAAATTAATGATTTTATAGTCCAGCAAAGGGCATGTATTTGCCGATAAAAGCTAAAAGTAAAGAGACATGGTTTAGATAACGAGTAATAAATACATTTTACGATGAAAAAGTTCTCATTCGTGGGTGGTTTTGAGTGACTTTTGCCTGCTTGAAACGTAAACAGGGTAAGAGGTTTATTGTGCATGGAATGGTCCTCTTACACAATATAAAAAATTATGGCGTTATTAAGTCTTATAACATTCTCAAAGCAACACTGAAAAAGAACTGTCTTCCTTCATATATTAAATAAAATAACATTCTTGCCACATTAGAAGACAATGACTGTAAGTTAGAAAGAATTATGTTACACAGTTGTTCATATAGTACATTTGGGTAGTTAGTAAAATAAAGTAAATAAATGAAACAAAAGGATGTAGAAAAAAGCCCCAATTTTGACAATGAGGTTTTTCTGATTATCAATACATCATGGAAAAGTTAAAAACATGCAATTTAATCGAATCCAATAAGCCAGTTCGACATTTTGATTGTGTATCCAAATGACGTGTTCTGAGTTGGGAATAAATGAACACATAAAATCTAGCTGAGACTAGACTTTTCTTTTCTTTTTTAATATTCAATGACTAATATTCTACATAAAAGAAAGAATGAAACTGTATATTTAATTCATTTCCTATTATAAACTTTATTGACTGTTTTTCTGTCTAAAGCCAAAAAATGAAAGTGTTCTTTCGGGAATATTTTTGTAACAGTGAAGCAAGTCAATCGTCTAAAAACTTTTTCTTTTTCTAAAAAAAATATTTCCGTAATTAAAACATCAAAACTTAATCTGGAACTGTTTGTGTCACTGAAGGTAGCGACGATAACAAGACAACTGTGGATTGAGGGGGATATAACTACCTGAAAAATACAAGCAGAACTTCGATGTTATATCCTTTTGTATCCTTCTCAATCCACAGCTTCTCATTAAAGCTTAAGCCTGTTTTTCACTTCACCATATCGTAACGTACTGTAGAGCATTTTCTTTTCTGTTGAACTTATTAGTTACTCAGAATAACAAAAATATACAGCTACGCTTTAGTACGATATACGGTTAAAGTGAAAAACATAATTTAGTTTTAAAATATTTACCCGACTCAGTTGGATGCGCAGTATTGTTATGCCAAACTGGCTTATTGGAATTTAGTAAAAAATATTGTAATTGTTGCTTTGCCAGTTTGGGCAAAGCTTCAACGCGAAGTTCGAAGATGCTTTCAAGACTGGGATAAACATATGGACTTAAAAACATTGTGCTATAAAACCACAAGAAATATTATGACCGTCTCGAAATTAGACTGTGAGTGATTTACTTGGACAAAAGCTGCAATGTTGTCATCGTTGAAAGTTAGTATACGTTGGCTTTTACGAGCCGTTGCTGTATATGTTACCATTTCATCATTTGTGAGATTAATACGCGGTATATGTTTTTTGGTGATTCATGCAGCTGGATTTGAAAATTTCTGATCATAATCATGCAACTGATATACTGGAATAATAATGGTAATGGTGTCTTCCACAAGCTTGTTGTAGTTTGTTTGTGTGAAAGTAATAGTGAACAATGAATATGGTTACTTGAATACGTCGTACTGTAAAGTCAAAAAGAAATTGATGAGCAGGTCGAAAGATCGTGAGCACTATTCGTGAGTCGTTTAGATAAAAGCGTGTAGTGTTGACATCACTTTACGAACAGTTCCTGTATCGTGTCATTATACAACGGATATGGTAATGACGTGCGTGAGATATATTTGTTGAATGATATGCAAAATAATGGATTTTAAAGCTTATGATGACAATGTGACTTATATACGTGAATAATGGAGTTGATTTTCTGTGAAAAATGATTATTTATGAAAGCCAAACAATATACAAGATTACTTAAAAACATTGTGCTGTAAAGCCACAAGAAATACCTGCGCTAAGACACTATCGTCTCGAAAGATCCTGTTGTCATTGTTGAAATTGTTCGCGTTTTACGAATCGTTCCTGCATCTTTCGGTTGCATATACCAACTTTGATGCGTCAATGTAGATACATTGGTACGTGTAGCATAATGCGTGACATATATTTGTTGAAGATTCGATTGGATAATTAACGTCAACAACGTGCATGACATGCGAGCGAGGAATGGTAATGCTTACTTTCCACAAGCTATGGTACTTGGTATGATTTTTGAACATTGCGGTGCATCATTTGTTGAACATTTGAAGTTTTGAACACAAACAATAAGCAATATGTTAACTATGAAAGTAAAGTCATTCATATCGAAGAATAAAAACGAAAGTGGTGTTGTTGAATGAAAGGAGCAGTAATGAGCGGTCGGTTCCGAAATTATGGTAAAAGACGTTAAGACTTTGAAACAGATTTCGCGCTTGAGAACATCCAGAGGCGTGGCACCTAGGAACGGTTTGAACTATATTATTTGACTTGGTCTCACTTAGGATCGCAAGACTACGGATTTGGTGTTCCTGTATGTAAGCCAGTGAACTGTTACATTATGTTGACATTTACAGATATTAATGCTTACGAGTATAAGCATTCCATAATTCTTGGCAGGAGTAAATATTTGGGAAGAACGTTTTTTCGAAGTATAACGCTCACAAGTCATGGTGTGGTTAAATTTAGGAACACGTACACAACCTGTAGACTATATCGAACTATGTATACTGCGTATTTCATACAATTTAGAAAACAAAGAAGAACAACGAAGACTGAACAATAATGACCTTTAGATACTTAGAATTATTTCTAGTATAATATTGCTTGTAGATTAGAATAATTATCGGTTGTGAATATTTTTCAAGAATGGTTAATAAACAATTATTGTATAATCATAGACTCGTTGGCACATCGTTTCTGGTAGAAATATCAAGATCATATAAAGCCGTAGCCTTACGATGATAAACAGGGTCATCGACAAATATCGCGGAACCCAGGGAGAAATCATCCCGGCGTCACAGTAGTTTTCGAGGAGGAAAGAATACGCGAAATTGATATAATGACATGGATATCTGCGGCAGGGCCTTTTTTAAGGATTTTCCCTTCGGGGGGGGCATTTTTTGAAAAGGGAAAATGTGATTTCGTGGGAAGGCACAAGGGGGGACTGGGGGGGCAAATGCCCCCCCCCCCCCAGCTTGTATGTTAAAAAAGGCCCTGATCTGCGGTTAAAATTCGACAGTCTAGACTCTGTAGCTCACTTAGTTAGAGCGCTGCACCGGAATCGCGTGGCCGCAAGTTCCATTCATAGTTTCCACTCCTGCCACAGGGCTTTAGTTGCCTTTTGGCAGCTGTACCTGGTTAGGTCTAAAACTGTATAGAATTTGCACGCGAAATTTCGAAGTGCAAAATTTACCCTTTAACATCTACAGTTCTATCGAATAAGATGCCCCAAATTCTGATATTTAGCCTGCTAGCAGGCTCTCTTGGTAAGTACACGCGCAGGTCACGTGGGTACAGCTATGCGTAACAACTGTGTTGTTATATAGACGCCCTGGTTGTATTCTGTGTTATGATTATAATCCCAACGATATATTATCTTTTTGTGTGTGTTTTGATGTTATGTGCTCAGGTGAATATGTTTTTGATGTTACTCTGAGGGTATATCCACACCGGGTAGGCTGGAAAGTTAGCCTGACTAGGATGGGAATCGAACCCGCGACATTTGGTATACTAGTCCAATGCTATATACATGTTTGAGTGTGTGGTATTTCGGAACTAAGTCTAGTACCTTCGATACCAATGTATTCTATGATCATGATATTTTTTTGTGTGTTTAGATGTTATGTACAGCTCAGGTTAATATAATGTGTTTGGTGCTCCTCTGAGTGTATATAGATCCACACTGGGCAAGCTGAAAAGTTAGCCTGACCACGGTGGGAATCGAACCCGCGTCCTTTGGGATACTTGGCCTCGTAGCTCAGTTGGCAGAGCATTGAACACATCAAAGCAGTCAGTGTAGAAACGCTGTTGACCTATACATATCACTGGAGGACGCGATCGGCATGAAAAGTATCGTCAAACGCCAAAATGATAACTACGGCACTATATTCATCGTAGTTACCACTGACCCTACCGCGATCCTGATATAAATTAGCCTATTTCCTATTTCAGTACCAAGTAAATTGTTCTTCACATATTTAATGCCCAAAATCCAGATATTTAGCCTGCGAACAGGCCCTTTTGTACTGCTTATTGTTAATTTAAAGTTGTACACACGTAAAAACACACAAGTTGTTACAGGTCTGCAAGTAAGTTGTTACAAATCGTTCACAGGTTGTCGACAAGTTGCATTCGCGTTGCTTGTTCCTAGTCGCTGTAACATATTTGGAAACAACTTGTTAACAACTTGTAACAGGACGAGCAGTGCGAACGCAATTTGTTGACGGCTTAGTGTTGGCAGACTTGCTACGCACGTAAAAACGCACAAGTTGTTACAGGTCTGCAAAGAAGTTGTTACAAATCTGTTTACAGGCTGTTCACAAGTTGTCTTCGGACTGCTTTTTCCCAGTTGTGGTAACAAGTTTGGAACAAGCTGTTAACAACTTGTAACAAACTTGATGCCATTATCAGACTTGTCACAAGGTTGTTCTAACAAGGCTGATACAGTCATCATAAACAAGAATGCTACAAGGTTGATGACACAAGGTTGTAAAAATACTGCTATATCATGACTGTATCGGACTTTTTGGAACAACCTTGTAACAAGCCTGATAATATCAATAAGGCTGTTGCTTTTGACAACTTGGGACAAGCAATGCGAACGCAATTTGTTGACGGTTTGTTGGCAGACTTACTGCACACGTAAAAAGGCACTTGTTGTCACAGGTCTGCAAACAAGCCTGAAAATAATTCCATGTGCTAAGTTGTTAACAATTTGTAACAACTTTGTTGATACTATCAGATTTGTTGCAAGGTTGTTCCAATAAGTCCGATACAGTCATAATATAGCAATATTGTTACAACCTTGTGTCGTCAATATTCTTGTAACATTCTTGTTATATCATGACAGTATCAGACTTGCTGGAACAACTTTGCTACAAGCCTGATAATGCCTTCAAGCTTGTTAGAATTTGTTAACAGCTTGTTCCAAACTTGTTACAACAATTGGGAACAAGCAGTGCGAAGACAACTTGTCAACAGCTTGTGAACAGATTTACAACAACTTGTTTGCAGACCTGTGACAACTTGTGCCAGGAGAGGTATGTTTTTTGGAGAGAAGCAACAGAGGGCCGTTAGATACGCTGATCGTCTGTCGAACAATGAATTGACGGAAAGTGAAGTCGCCAATGTGCTTAAGAGCTTGGATCCTAATAAGGCGGGTGGAATACCGAACAGACTTCTTCAGAACGTATCGACCGAAATTGCACCATCACTATGCAAGCTATTTAACTTGTCGCTACCCCAGGGGGTTGTTCCTTCAGAATGGAAGTTAGCAAATCTTTCGCCGATTTTAAAAACCGACGACCAAACACTCTCCTCCAATTATAGACCCATCTCGCTCCTAAATACAATTTCCAAGGTACTCGAACGCCGTGTATTTAATCATTGTAGTATGCATCTGGAGCCTCAGATATACCATTTACAGCATGGTTTCATGAAGGGTCGATCAACAGTAACACAACTTGTCGAGGTCTATGATGATATTGTAAACTCTGTCGCAAGTGGGAAGGAGGTAGATGTGTTGTATCTTGATCTAGCCAAAGCATTTGACAAAGTGCCTCATAATTTGTTACTCTTGAAACTTCAGTTGCATGGTATCACAGATCCACTATTGTTATGGATGCAGAGTTATCTTTCTGATCGAAAACAGAGGGTTGTCCTAATGTCCTGGAGGGTGCTTCTTCTGATTGGCTACCAGTAACATCAGGCGTGCCACAGGGCACCATTCTAGAACCTTCCCAGCGGGCAAAATGACGTTTATCCAACGTTGAATCAACGTTGGAAATGACCTTCCAGACGTTGGATAGACGTTGAAAAAGGGTTGACTATGCAAATTGGATCGACGTTACTGTTTCGACGTTGAAACAACGTTGAAATTAGGTTACCAATCTCGTCAACCATAATTCAACGTTGAATCCACGTTAAAACAACATTGAGATTGGTTCACAAATCGACGTCGTACATTTAACCACGAATGAACGTTAATTCAACGTCTGTTGGCTGCTGTTGAACTAATGTTTGTAAAACAACGTCAGAGCAACGTAGATATTAGGTTGTCGACGTCGCAACCTTTTTTCTACCAAATTTCAACGTTGAAACAACGTCGTGTGCCCGATGGGTTTGTTGTTTTTGGTTTATGTGCATGATGTACCAAGTTGCATTATTAATAACTCGAATATTGCACTTTTCGCTGATGACTCGAAGTTGTATCGGGCGATGGACATAAATTATGACCATAACTTACTTCGAGCCGATTTAGACTGTTTACATACATGGAGCCTCAGTTCGGGATTAGATTCCAATGCGCGGAAATGCAAAGTATTGCATATTTCAAAGAAAAGATCAACTCGGGAAATGAATAGAAATTACAGTCTTGGTGACCAACCGATTGAGTGTGTGCCTTCATTTATCGTTCTCGGGAGGACTATATGTCACAATTTATCCTGGGCAGACCATATTGAGAAAATTGTTGTTAAAGCTAACAGGACCCTTGGGCTAATGAAAAGGATTTTCCGTGATTTGCAAGATATACAAACTAGAAAAATACTATACTGTGCTCTTGTACGACCCAAGCTGGAATATGGTAGTAGTCTTTGGTCGCCTTAAACCAAGAAATACGCGAAATTAATTGAAAATGTCCAGAGAAGAGCTACCAAGTTTATTCTAAACTATCCTGAAGATATGAAGTATATTGATAGATTGATCAAACTAAACTTATTGCCTTTAGAACACCGTAGACAAATTTCAGATTTAAAGGTGATCTACAGTCCGATCTGCGCATGTGCACAAATGAGCCCACTTTTTATGATAAAAACAGTTTAACTATGTTTCGAGTTCTTGATATAAATAGTTGTCGAATAAAGCTCAATATTTTGGACAAAGGCTTTGTTTACATACGGACTGTAGATCACCTTTATTAACATTTTTCTTTAAATCGAGAAATGGCTTGGTAACCACCGACATTAATAAATTTTTGACAGTGTTTGAGCCCGGGTATCGAACACGTAATTATGATATAAATAACTATAATCTAATTATAAAGCATAAGCAAGATTATTACAGGAAATCTTGCTTCATAAGAACAGCCGAACTCTGGAACACTTTGCCATCTCAGGTGAAACAGTGCGAATCCATTCGAACATTCAAGACTGCCATTTATAACTTTTATTCATCTAAGAGTTTGGACTATTGTGCTCCTTAGTATAGTATTACCTACTCGCTTATTTATTTATTTATTTGACTTTACAATTTATTGTTGTTTCTCCGATATTTTTGGAGTTTTATGTAAAGAGGCTCTGTTGCAATTGGGACGCAAGTCCTGTTCAAACTCCTGTCATATACTTATAATTAATGATATTATGTAATATATGGCAAATTCATTAAACTAAACTAAACTAAACTAAACTAAACTAAACTTGTGCGTTTTTACGTGTGTACGCACGTAAAAATCTCACAACTTGTCAAGAAGATGTGTTCGCAACAGGCTTGTAGCAAGCTTGTCAACAAGTTGTAACAATGCTGTTATTTTATCAAGTTGCTGCAAGGTTGTCACTCACAACTTAGTGACAAGTTGTTGAATTGCAGAACGCGATAACAAGTTGTTGGAACAACGTGTAACAAGTCTGTTGAGCTCAACTACACACGTAAAAACGCACAA